CTCCACTCGCGATGTCCACCTCGTCAGCTTCCGCGCCCGCCCACTGCGAGCCCTCGCCGAACGCGATGTTCTTCTCGCGCTGGGCCACGCACTCAGCGCGCACCTCGCGCGCGGACTCGCAAATGCTCCCCGTTAGTTTGCTTTCTTGCTTCCGAATACAGGGGTGTCTGCGAATCGTTTGCCGCGGAGCAGGAGGGAATGGACGTTCGGCATGCCGAGCGCGCGCGCGACTGCCCCACTCCGCGCTTGAATATAGGGTGGAACGCGCGCGGGAGAACGCGGCGCGTGCACTTCTTGCGCACGCAGTGGCGTGCCCATCCCCCATTCGAATCTTCGCAGTGCATCAGGGGGCCCAGGCTCCCCCCATTGCAATAGGGGCGCGCGGCGCCTTTCCTGCCGGGCGAAGCCTTACGGGAGCTGCGCATGTAGCCAGCGCAAATGAACGTCGAAGGTGTCACCACATAATGATGCGCGCGCCGTCCTGCGTGGAAGAACGCGAACGAACTCATGATGGATCGCTTAGCGCTCCTATGCTAAAGTTGGTCCTATTTGTTTCATATAGTTTGGCCCCCCAGCAAAAGGACCGCCCGCGCCCGTGGCCAATGGGCAATGCGCGACGCGCCCCTGTCGCCGCCTGCCACGAAGCACAGAGCTGCACGCGAGCCGCGGCAGAATTCCCACGCGAGAGAAAACAACGACATTGAATTTGAGCGGCGCAGGACACCCCAGAAGGCTTGAAGACGCAGATGAATTCCCGCGACTGCAAGAGACGCCCGGCGCATTCAAATTCGGACGTTAGCGCCCCGAAAGGCAGACGCCCGCCCAAATCCAACGAAAATGTGCGCGATTGCTTCATTTGGGTAATATCAGCGAAAAGACTGCAATGGCGCGCGTCCGCCGTGACAGAAGCTCCTTCACATATGTTATCACGTGGTTATGTCCTGCACCCGTTGCGATCCTAATCGTTTCTAATGGCAAGCGCCCCCGCGCGCGAAATCAACGGCGCACGCGCGCGATGCTTACCTTTTGGCGACGGCTTTAACAAGCGAGCAGCGAACGATCTCGAGAGGCGCGCCCGCCGTTGCTCAAGTTCCATCGGAAACCATACAATCGAGGGCGGTGCGTCTCACCCGTTGCGTTTCTAGCGGCAGGCGCCCCGCATCCAAAATCAACGAACGGGCTACCGCGCGAAATTGGGAGGCCAGATGCTGGGGCAACCAGGAAAGCCAGCGAGGGCGCAGCACGGTGGCCAGGGTACGCCACGACGACTCGACGCGACTCGCCCCCTCCTTCCCCCCCCCGCCTCTCCCCCCCCTCCGGACCCGGCTGCGATGCATCGCCGAAGTGTCGGCGTCAGCGGGGGGCGGGGGCAGAGGGGGGCGGGCGCGGCGCCGGCGCCGCCGCGGAATCCCACCAGCCCTTTGGGAGCAGTTTCTTTCTCCCCCTCGCAGCCCTTCCCCCGCCCCCCGCTCTTTTACAGCTTTTTCGGTCCGGGGGCTGGGGCGTCGAGCGGCCGGGGCGCCTCAGATGGCCAAAGATGGCTCCAAGAGAGCCCCCGCTGCTTCGAGATGGCCAAGATGGTTCAAGGTAGCAAAAGGCGGCCGACGAGATTGCCCAATGTAGCCGGAAAGCTATTTCCGAAATGGCCTCCAATAAGTATGAAGATCGCCAACCGGTTCGCGCGGCCCTTGCGACGGCGGGGGCGGCGCGGCGCCCTTCAGAAAAACGCGGCCAAGGCGGTGGGGGGCGCGCCGGGGGGAAGGGTGGGCAGAGGAGCAGGGGGTCCCGCTGGCGTTGGCGAGCGCGGGCGGGCGCGCGCGGGGGCGGGGGGGCGGGTCGGGGGGCGCGGTGCGACGTCAAAATGAATCGATCGTGGCGGAGGGGGGCGCGCTGGGGGGAAGGGCGAGTCGAGGAGGAGGGGGGCGGCGGGGGCGGGGCGACGCCGAAATGAAATGGCCAGGGCGTGGGGCGGGAAGGAGTGGGCACTGGGCTGCTGGGGTGCGCTGGGGCGAGGGCGGTGCGACGCCGAAATGAAGCGGCCGGGGCGGAACGGGTCGCGCTCGGGGAGGGAAGGGGGGGGGGCGGCGCCGAAATGATTTAGTCGGGGCGGAGGGGGGCGGATGAGGTCGGGGTGGGGGGGGCGCCGGGCCACTAGGCAACGGCGAGGGTGGCGCGACGCCGAATTAGAAAAGTCGGAGCGGAGGGTCGTTCTGGCGGCGGTGGCGGGCGCGGTCGGGGCGGGGGGGGCCGGGGCGGAGGGGGGCGCGCCCGCGGGGCGCGGGGGGCGCCGGGCGGGCGGGGGGCGGGTCGCGGAAGCGAAACGGTTGGGGCGGTGCGAACGCGAGATCAAAAGAGTCGGGGCGGAGGGGGGCGGGGTCGAGACGTCGGGGCGGAATGGGGCGGGGTGCGCTGGGCGGGCGAGGGGGGGGGGTCGCGCGGGCGGGGCGGCGGGGCGGTGCGACGCCGAAGCGAAGTGGTCGGGGCAGTGGGGGGCGGGGTAGAATCAGCTTTGGACGGAGGGCGGCGCGACGCCGAAATAAAGCGGTCGGGGCGGAGGGGGTCGCGTTGGCGGCGGTGGCGCCGGTTGGCGTGGAAGGGTTGGTGGGGGGGCGGGAGGGGTAGGGGGGGCGGCGGGGGCGGTGCGACGCCGAAATAAAGTAGTCGGGGCGGAGGGGGGCGGCGCGCAGCTGAGGGCGCTGGGCGGGCGGGGAGGGGGGAAAGGTCGGGGGGGCGGGGCGGCGGGGGCGGTGCGACGCCGAAGTGGAGTGATCGGGGCGAAGGGGGGCGGGGTGGAGAGTTCGCTGGGCGGGGGGCGGTGTCGCGCTGGTTGTGGCGGCGGTGGCCGGTGTATAAAGCGGTCGGGGCGGAGGGGGGCGGGGTGGGCAGGGCGCTGGACGGGGGGCGGTGTCGCGCTGGTGGCGTTGATGGCTGGTGTGCAAAGTGGTCGGGGCGGAGCGCTGGACGGGGGGCGGTGTCGCGCTGGTTGCGGTGGCGGCTGGCGTGGGTGGGCGGGCGGAGGGGCGGGGGGGGCGGTGCGACGCCGAAATAAAGCAGTTCGAGATCTAGACGCCCCGTGCATGAAAATCAAAGTACAAACCCTCAAGGGGTGCGTCCGCCGCGGCCCAATAAGTTCCTGAAGAGACTGAAATCGAGGGCATGTCGTTTCACCCGATACGTTTCTAAGCGCAGGCATCCCGCATCCAAGATCAAAGAAACATGCGCAGAATTTACGTTGGTTGGCGTCATTATTAACCGGAACACCTTCAAGTTATGCGTCCGCCGTGGCCTAAGTTCTTTACGGGACCATGAAATCGAGGCCGATATGTTTCACCCGATACGTTCCTCATTGTAGGCATCCCGCATCCGAAATCAACGAAACATTCACAGGATGTACCCTTTCTGACGACATTAATGAACGAACAACCTTTGAGGGATGCGTCCGAAGACGCCGAAGTTTGAGCGACAAACGCATGCGTACCCCCTTGTAATGTTCACGGGGCACACGCCTCAAGGCCGTTGAGCCTTGGTGGTCTTTCTCCTAACTTGATCCGATCACAGGCCTCCACACAACGAATCTCATTGTAATCCCCCGCAGAAAGGAATCCTATTGAAGTCCGCTTCGCATGAAAACCTATTATAGTCTTCCAGTGAAGGAACTCGGGCGCAATCCTCCACGCAAGGAATCCGATTGTAATCCTCCACGTAAGGGTCATATTGTGATCCGCCGCGCATCGAATCCGGTAGAAATCCGCAGCAAAAGGAACCCGAATGCAACCCCACACAAAAAGGAATATTATTGCAATCTTCCTCAAGAGGAATCCGACGGTATTCTTCAAAATCCGATGTGGTCTCCCACGCATGGAATCCTGTTAGGATCCGCCACGCACGGAATTCTATTGTATTCCCCCGCGCACGAATCTTGTTGTAACCTTAGAAGCCCACGTTCTCAAATACGCATGTTTTGTGTCGCTCCTCGCTGTTTGCTTCCGCTGTTCATGCACAGGGGGGCCCTGATTCCATAATGTCTAGAAATGTGTGTTTGTCATCCTCCTTCTTTCTGCTGTCCAGGCACAGAAAGATCAGGTCGATGCAAGACGAGATTCGGCCACATGGGGATATATTGGCCGACCTTGAAACCCCTTCTGTCTGGACGGCAACAACCAAGGCGGATAACACCAAACACCACTGTTTAGAAATCCCGGAATCCTGCGACAGCAAACGTAAAGACGCGGAGCAACACAAATCACAAAACAAACAGAAGGTTTGCTTTCCGAAGTACTAAGGGTGTGCTTGTATTTTCAGCGTTACAATGCGATTTCATGCTTAGCGTGTTACACTAGGATTCTGTATGTGGTGGAGTACATTTGGGATGCCGTTCGTAGAGGATTACATCCGAATTCCATTATGTGGGAAATTCCAACAGGATTCCTTTTGATGGAGGATCACAATCGGATGTCCTTTTTAATGGAGGATTGCAATTGGATTTCTTTTGTGTCCGGTTTACATAGGATTCGTTTTCTGTTGGGCTTGTTATAGGATCCTTTCTTCGGCGGATTACACTACTATTCTTTTTCTGTGGAAATTACAACGGGACTCCTTGCCGTGGAGGGTTCAATCGAATTCCTTATGTGAGGGATCGCCCGTGGAATCACTTTGCAAGTCGCCACAAAATGAAGAAGGAGAAGAAACGATCAATCAACGTGTTGTGGTTTTGGTGGTTTGAAGATGGGGGGTGGCGACCCTATATATATGTGTGTGAATACAGATATGTATGTATACACATGTATATATATATATATGTATGTATATATGTTGCCATACAGATAGCCATATCTATATATATAGAGAGAGAGAGAGAGAGAGAGAGAGAGAGAGAGAGAGAGAGACAGAGAGAGAAAGAGAGTGAGAGAGAGAGAGAGAGCAAAGCTCTGCCCCGTCCTTCCCTCCTTCTCCCACTTCCTCCTCCCCTCTCGAACGCCGCCTTGCGTCGCACCCGCCAGGGGTGGAGTTCAGTCCCGCAGCACGGCGTCAACGGCAGCGCCGCTGCTGCTGCGGCAGCGACCCCGACGACCTCTCTATAGTTCGATATCCATTCACGTTTTCGCTCTCTCGCCTCTTTCCCCTGTTCTCTTCCGCGTGCTATCAGTATTTGCGTGTAGCTATATACAGATATATGTGTGTATATTATATATCTATACATACACGTATGTGTGTGTGTGCTTGTGCGTGTAGGTCGACGCCTGAAGCGAACCATCGCCGCCCCCTGCCTTTTGGAAACGCCCATGCGGCCGAACGTAGGGCCAGATGTCGACCAAGATGTTTGACTAGGTGTTCCCCCAGCCGTTGTGGAACCTATTGAGGGATATTCCACGCAGATCCAGAGCATACGACAGGCCATGAATGCAATAGGTTGCGAGATCCGGTGGGTGGATCACCCAACGATTCTGGTGGACGGCATGACGATGGAAGATAGATCTTGTTGTGCAGTTGATGAGAACTGGATCGCTGTGCATCGCGAGAAACCATGGAGACTCACCGTCATTGGAGTGCCGCTGGACAGTGGCCTCAACGCTGAACTGGATTTGAAGATGCGGTTGTGGATTCCATTTCAGCCTGAGTGCTTCCCATGCGCGTCTATGATTCTACTAGGCGTGTTTCAAAAGAGTCTGAAGGGAGCAGAGAATTTCAGTAGCTGTAGATTTCTGGCGATGTCCGTTCTCCCTGCCCTTCCCCTTAGCCTTCCATATGCTCTGTGCTCTCTCGGCCACAGCCGTTTGGCTTGGGCTGGCTTACCCCGTTTCCCTCCAGTTTCCTCCAGAGTATCACTATACACTGCACCTCCATTTACCCCTTCTGACATCTCACGTTACTTACGCACCAGAGTGCAACATTACCCGACTCGCGTGCATCAAGCACGCAGGAAATCTCAACATCGTCCTCGATCCCACCCCGACTTTGCTGTTTCGTGTGATGGGCCGGCATTCCACCACCACTACGATGAGCAGGAGAGGGCGGAGGGAGAAGAGGAGGAGGAGGAGGAGGAGGAGGAGGAGGAAGAAGAGGAAGAGGGAGGACCTCCCCTATCCACTCTTCTTCCCTGTCCTACCCATGGCAGCTGCCGTGGAAAATTGGCCCATCCTCGTCGGTTCGCTCCCCGGCAGAGCGGCGCCCAAGTCGCGCCGCACGCCCGTCTCGACGCCCCGCCCCGCGGGCGGGCCCCCGGGGGCGCCGCCCCGCCCTGCGCCAGGCCTTCGTGGTGCTGGGGCCCCAGAAGGACGGCGGCCGGGCCTGCCTTTGCGAGCGCTCCGCGGAGCGCGGATCCTGAACTCGCTATCTCAGGAGGGGAAAACACAAAGACACAATGGATCGTCGGCTCCCAGGAAAATATGGGAAGATATGGGGAGTGGGGGGGAAGACAAGAACCCAGAAAATATGGGAACAGATGGGGAATCCTGTTATTTGTTTCTGTTAATTTGTGTGTCCCAGGGCCCCTTCAGTATCGTTTAATCGATCCCCATCCCCATCCCCATCCCCTTCGAGACCTCCACCAAATTACCACCCCGGTGGGGATACGCCCCTCGAAACCCGAAGGGGACGGCCTATATCCCCATCTAGGAGGGTAGATCGGCCATCGGGGCCCAGGCCACGCCGCCCGCTGGGGATGGGGATCGGTTAAACGATACTCATGACCCTAGGAGCTGCCCAAGCCAGGAGGGCGTGGCGTAGACACCGCGACTGGGTTCAGCACGGGCTTGGCCAGGGATCAGTGGATATCTGCACAGAGTTCGTCGCCCTGTGTCACGCTGCCTCTTCGGGGGACCCCGCCTGGTAATCGATGAGATAGCGCCGATGCAGCGTCGATGAGCGTCGATGCGCAAGTGCCAGCAAGATGGAGTGAGAGGCTCCCGTGAGTTGCCACAAGAAGGTGTTATGCACTGTCTCTGGGGGGACCCGATGTGGACTTGGCGCGGATTTGGCGTGGGTTCGACATGGATTCGGCATGGCTTCGGCGCGGATTCGACGAGTCTGGCATGGGTTCGGCACAGATTCGGCGCGGATAGGGGCGCGACGGGACAGACGAGGTCCAAGATGCAACATAAAGGGGGTGGGGGCGCGATGTGAGGAGATGGGAGGTCTGAGGGCAGAGGGGGTAGCGGAGCGGATTTGGTGGAGGCGGGAGGGGGGAACCATTAAGGGCAGAACATGCTTGGCGACAGATCCTCCCCTTCATCGTCCTCTCCTGTTCTCCCCCCTTCTCCTCCTCCTCCTGGCCTCCGACCTCCAAGGGCTACCTTAAACCGCCCCGTGACCGAACCTCGTAGACCCGAGCTCGGGGAAAACAGTTGGTGAGGCGTGCATGGCCACAGCTTCTCCAATACATCCAGAGTATACTGTAACCAAATACGCACGTTCAGTATTTCGTTAGACCTTCTCCTCTCTCCGTCCTCCGTTCATTCAGCCACTGTGTGTGTGTCTTTGGTTGTTCGGCTGACTATGTAAATTGGGATGTCCACGCAGCACAGTGTTCGCTCCCGCTCGCCGTGTTTCCATACTCCTCCTCTTCCTCCTCCGCCTCTTCTTCTTTTCCTCATTTAGCCGAGTCTGGGGCTATTGCTCGTTTCTGTTGTCTGTCGTCATGGGTCGGCGGAGTTTCGGCCACGTTCGCAGGACAGCTTGGCGAGTGATCTTGCTTTGTTCGTCGCGCGGTGGCGGGAAGATTGCCCCCTTGAGGGGCAGCGGATCGGGCGGGGCTCGTGCACGTAACACGATTGTAACAACATAAGCGCACATGTGTTTCTACCAACCATTTTGTGGTCTTGTGCTCTTGCGCGCGCCTCTCCACCCTCTTCCCCGCTTCCACCTCCTCAAACGTCACACGATTCGTGGCCTTCCTCAGGGAGCACTGCCTACGATGTCAGTGGGCGCGTTTCGTGGGCCAATGGTCGTAGACACGGCGGCGGCGCCACGTTCGTTTCGCTTACCCATCACCTGGGTCGTGGCCCACAGGGAACTCCGCCTTCGGCATCAGTGGGCTGCGACGTATGGCGGCGCCGCGACCATTCGGGCAGACGAGTCACGAGGATCGTTTTCCCATGGGGGGCTCCACCTGCGGCCTCACTGGGCGCCAACCTGCATGGCGGCGTCGCGCCCACTTCAGCACACCTTTCTCGATGATCGCCCAGTCCTGGACACTCTTCGACACCTTCTGTCTCAATCCACAGCCCCAGAACCCCCGACCCCTTCCTGGCAGGTAGTCTTGCACCGCGGACCCAGTCTTGATGGCCGCAGGGCCCGAGAGATGCGCCCAGAGACCGACGTGATGGAAGAACACTGCGGCTGAACCCACGGTGTCGTCGGAGGTCTGGGGTGGCCGCCGGCGTCGTCGTCGACATCGTCGTCGCCACGGTGCCCCTTCACCCAGCGGCGTCGCCTCCGCGGCGTCCCCGTCTCTGGCGGCGCGCGCAGGGTGATGGCGCGAGGCGGGAGGAGGCCTTCCAAGAAGGCTGAGGCCTTCTTGCTTGGCAGGGGCCCTCTTGGAAGCGCCCAACGGCCTGTCAGAGGGCTTGTCAGATGCCTCTGGGCGCTTCGACGAAGGCCCCTTGCTTTCAAGACGCCCCCTTGCCTTTAGAATACCCCCTACCCTACCGTGTGTCACTCGAGCCGGAAGAACGGGTAGGATAGAGAAAGGGAGGGGGGGTACGAAATCTGCTGCGTGCAGCTGGTTTCGGCCCTGCCGCCACGCCCAGTCCTCGATACATTATTGCCTTCTGGCGCTTGGAGACGTCAGAAAAAAAACATTTATTTTAACTGATTCTTCACCCTACCCTTTGCTACTCTGCCCTTCCGTCCGCCACGAGCCACCCATTGCGTCCGCCGCATACTTCCGAAGCCCCTCCGCCGCCCGGCGGCGAGAGGACCGGTTCTCCTGCGCGCAGGGCGCGCCCGCGGTGGCAGCGGGGGCGCCGAAGGAGGACGGGAACAGGCGGGTCTTGCCGCGCCGCCGCGGAGGGGAGGGCACGAGGGTCGAAGATGAGTTGGCGGGGGCACAGGGAGGGCGAGGGGGCGGAAGTGGTAGGAGGGAGGAGGAGGGAGGGAGGGAGGGGTGGAGGGAGGGAGGGAAGGAGGGAAGGATGGACGGAGGGAGGGAGTCAGGGAGGGTAGTAATTAGTAGTTGTGTTGTTGGCAGTAGTAGTAGTAGTAGTAGTAGTAGTAGTAGTAGTAGTAGTAGGAGTAGTAGTAGTAGTAGTAGTAGTAGTAGTAGGAGTAGTAGTAGTAGTAGTAGTAGTAGTAGTAGTGGTAGTAGTAGTAGTAGTAGTAGTAGTAGTAGTAGTAGTAGTAGTAGTAGTAGTAGTAGTAGTAGTAGTAGTAGTAGTAGTAGTAGTCGTAGTCGTAGTCGCAGTCGTAGTCGTTGTCGTAGTCGTCGTCGTCGTCGTCGTCGTCGTCGTCGTCGTCGTCGTCGTCGTCGTCGTCGTCGTCGTCGTCGTCTTCGTCGCCGTCGTCGCAGTAGTAGTAGTAGTAAGTAGTAGTAGTAGTAGTAGTAGTAGTCGTAGTCGTAGTCGTAGTCCGTAATCGTAGTCGTAGTACGTAGTCGTATCGATCGTAGTAGTAAGTAGTAGTAGTAGTAGTAGTAGTAGTAAAAACAAAGAAGTAGTAGTAATAGTAGTAGTCGTAGTCGTAGTCGTAGTCTAAGTCGTAGTAGTATCGTTAGTATACAGTAGTATATAGTAGTAGTAGTAATAGTAGTAGTAGTAGTAGCAGTAGTCGTAGTAGTCGTCGTAGTAGTTAGTAGTAGTAGTAGTAGTAGTAGTAGTAGTAGTAGTAGTAGTAGTAGTAGTAGTAGTAGTAGTAGTAGTAGTAGTAGTAGTAGTATAGTGGTAGTAATAGTAGTAGTAGTAGTAGTAGTAGTAGTAGTAGTAGTAGTAGTAGTAGTAGTGGTAGCGGTAGTAGTAGTCGTAGTCGTA